TTTTTCTCCCTCTCTCATTTCGACACTCCCCACTCCCTTTTTTTATCCCCCCTTCTTTTCTTCATATTATCAAGCCAAAAACAATAAAAATACTTCCCTAGCTACTTCCCTATAATCGGCCTCCCCTTCCCTCTCTCATATACTTCTTTCTCCTCATTAAAACAAACCCAAAAAAACCTCATAAATTTATTCCTTCTCTCCCATTTCTTGTTCGGCCAACACCTCACCTCCCTTTCCTTGAGCTAACATACATCATATTGTATGTATTTTCCCTTTTAAAGAAGGCTCAATATAAAAACTAAGAATAGTTATAGTCATTGCTCATCTCAGCTTCAACCTATATATATATAATGGTGTGAGAGTAAAATGAACAGTGTTCCCATCCAAACTTTTAGGTTGAGTCACTGCATAATTGGCTGGCCATATAATGTGGGCAATGATGAAGCCTTTAAGTGCAACTACAATGTCATAGCTAGGTACTTTGGCAATGGATTCTGGCAAGAAAGGCGGTTGGCCTAGAAAGACACTCAATTCGTCTTCGACTTCTTTTTCCTTTTCTTCTTCTTACATGTATGATAGCCAATCACTCAAATCCATCCACATAAATGCCATTCTTGCCAGTGTTCTTTAACCCACAAAAGCTGAAATGCATAAACTTCTTTTTGTTAAGGATATATGCATTTTATTCAATAGAAAAAAAAAATACTCCATGTAATGTGCAATTTAGTGAAAGCATTGGCTGCCATTATTTTCTTTTGACTTCCAAGTGTTCCCTTTCGATGTGTGTTTGAGTGTAAGTAATGGTGGTCCGTGTGAAAATTAAAAAGTGGCATTAAAGTAGAGTAAAACTTTTAATTTCACCAATAAAGAAAGAGGCCTCTATTTAGAGATATTCAAAGAAGGAAAACATTTGTATAGGGACAATCGCAGTAATGAAGAATATACGTCGAAGGGTCAACTCCATCCACCAAACTTTTTCATAGAATCCAAAAACATGCTAGTGTTAGTCAGTAGATGCGAAATAACGAACAAGGTATTTATAATATCTGGCATGGACAGCTTTATTAGTTAAAGACATGTTTCTAGTCTAAAAGATGTATGGACAGAGATATATAATAGTTGGTCCTCTCGGCTTGTGTATGTTACTAAGAAGCAATAATATCATCGCTGACTGTCATCATCATCATAACCATAAGCTCTACTGTGGTGGGTAGACAACATTAAATTTGTAGTGTCAATTAATTGTCTGTGCAAGAAAACATTAACAAAGTTGTTGTAGCAATTGTAAGCAAAGATCACAAAGCAGTATCTACCTAGCTAAACAAGTGCAAACTCTACATCAAGAGCAAATAGAGTAGAATTTTTGATGTGGGTGGATCAGGGAGGAGGGTGCAGATTAAGATCACAATGTAGTATCCACCTATCCCATCAAGAGCAAGGCATAGCTAAATGGTGTTGCGCTGTAGGTGTCCTCATACGCGGGATCCAGCAGATCCAAACCAAAAGGATCATTACCATTTCAATCAAAAAGACCTAATTCATCATCAATAACTTCTTCTCCTCCAAGCATGCAGAAGATGCTGTTTTTTCACTTCAGTCAGTTTTAGTTTGCAAAAGGAGCTGCATTATTGTCCACAGAGATAAATAAAGTGTAGATATAGAAGAAGCTATAGGTGACCAATTTGATGTCATTAAATTTGCTAGCAGTAGATTTGCATGGATGTTTTTTTTACTTGAGAGCCTATACTTTATTATGGTTACTGTTACTTCAGTCTGCTAAACCTCCGTTATTATTGAATATAGGGTGTTCCTTCAATAATACAGACGTAGAGAGGCGGACGAGATGAAGCAAGGGGGCTACGGTGGAGATCCTCCCATGAAACTCATAGTTGAGATACTTGTGTTTGTAACCATCGAGACACTCGGATGTTGCAAGTCCGTATGCAAGCTCTGGCGCAAGCATATAGAATCCTGTAAGCGCTTCCACTTGTTACACGCAGCCCGAGAACAAGAACGGCTTAAATTTGTGGTTCTAGCTGCATCTGGAAATGAGCTGCATTGTATTTCGGTTGTTGAAGAGAGCCGGGAGTTGCACCTGGATCTAGTCATCTAGACAACCACCCCATGCTGAGCGGTGGGGGATCATTCAAAATTCTCAGCACCTGCGGCGGACTCTGAACAATTCAGATACGGTTTTTCGTTGGAACCCTCTAATCCAGGTTATGGAAAGAATTGAAGACAAGATACCGCATATCAAGCTTGATGAAGAAACTTCTGGAGTATTTTTGGACCGTGATGAGCTAGATGTTGAAGTGGAAAGAGTTTCCATCCATCCGAAGCTAAGTGGCAAATAGTCAAGTCTTACTTTGTATAAGCTAAGTGGCAAATGTCTGTCACTGACTTCCCTTCAAGTATACAAGTCAGCCAGGATTCCCTGTTCATGGAATACACTTCTACCACAATTTTTCCACTTTGAATGGAACTCTTGTCACTTCAACATCTAGCCCATCACGGTCCAAAAATACTCCAGAAGGTCCTTCATCAAACTTGATATGCAGCATCTTGTCTCAAACTCTTTTCATAACCTGGATTAGAGAGTAACAAAGAAAAAGCATATCTGAATTGTTCAGGGTCTGGCAAATACAAAGCACACCGCCGCAGCTGCCGAGAATTTTGAAAGATCCCCCACCGCTCAGAATGGGGTAGTTATCTAGATCCAGGTGCAACTACCAGCCCTCTTCAACAACCGAAATACGATGCAGCTCATTTCTAGGTGCGGCTAAAACCACAAATCCAAGTCATTCTCGTTTTCGGGCTGCGTGCAACAAGTGGAAGCGCTTACTAGAGTTTATATGCTTGCGCCAGAGCTTACATACGAACATGCAAAATCTGAGTGTCTCGATGGTTACAAACACAAGTACCTCGACTATGAGTTCCATGGGAAGATCTCCACCGTAGCCCCCTTGCCTCATCTCGTCCACCTCTCTGTGTCTTTATTATTTAAGGAACACCATATATGCAATAATAACGGAGGTTCAGCAGACTGAAGTAACAGTAACCATAGTAAAGGATAGGCTCTCAAGCAAAAAAAACAGCATCCATGCAAATATACTGCTAGCAAATTTAATGACATCAAATTGGTCACCTATAGCTTCTTCTACATCTACACTTTATCTATCTATGTGAACAATAATGCAGCTCCTTTTGCATATTAAAACTGATTGAAGTAAAAAACATCATCCATGCAAATTCATTGCAAGTGTCTCTCACTAATAACGAATGATAATCTGCCCCCCCCCCTCACTCACTAACAATATTCAAGCTTTTGGGTTTTTATCCATGCCCAGAGAATGAATAGCTTAAACCATCTCACTCTTACACACAAAATGAATTAAAAAATGATCACCTTTTCATCCCAGGAAATCAGCATGCAAAATCATAAAAAAAAACTACCGAATAAAGTCACAGAAGTGGAGTTTGGGTTGGGGGATTGGTGGCAGTGTGCAAACTTTGCCCCTACCTGTTAATGGTAGAGACCATGTTTCCCCACCTCACTGGATTAGGGATGGCAATTCAACCCGAACCCGAGCTTAACCGACCCGACCGACCACTAAAATATCTGAACCCGAACCGAGAATAAAATAATCCGAACCCGACCCAAAATTTTTTACCCGAACCCGACATCGGGTCGGGTCGGGTGTGGGTTTATTATTTTACCCGACCCGACCCGAACCCGAACCCGACCCGACTCAAACCCGAATATTTTATAACATAAAAGCCTATCTATAGATATAATGAGCACTCCGTATAATCTCTTGACAAAGTGCTACTATATCAAGTATGTCATTTATAATCATTTTTATAATTCCTTAATAAAAAAATGAGACACAAAAAAATTAGATTTAATCTTTTTAAAATTATTGGGGTACATTGAATTGATTATTGGTTAAAAGTCGGGTTCGGGTCGGGTTCGGGTTTTGGGTTGGAATGTCGGGTTCGGGTCGGGTCGGGTTTTTGGCTTAAAAAGTCGGGTTTCGGGTCGGGTTCGGGTTTCGGTTTTAAAAGTCGGGTCGGGTTCGGGTATAGTACTATCCGACCCGAACCCGACCTGTTGCCATCCCTACACTGGATCAATAAAGCAACACCTGAGAGATTCAAAATCATACAATAAGGGAATGAAAAGGACATCTCATTCTTACACACAAAATTAAACAAAAAATCATCACTTAGTGATTCCGACAAACCAACATACAAAAACATCAACAAAGTTAAAAAAAAAGTCTTTAAAAAGTGTAAGTGAGCATGTATGAAGTGCACTGTGAGCCATCATCCATGAAATGAAGTTATTGTTTCCCTTTTAGTAACAAATTTTGGGGTTCACAATTCCACCTTTCTAAATTTAGGAAGGGGGTAGCAAGGAAGGAGGGAGTACTAAAAGAACAAATAATTATACATCGATGTATGATTAATTAAATGTATTTTGTTACTTATTCGATATATAAAGTAATTATACATTGATATATGTTATCATTTATTCATATACTTAAACTTATCCCAGCACAAAGGGTTTGCATTTCTAATGCCATGACATGTCCGGATACTTCAACCACAAAGTTCCACACCAAAGATCCTTAAATATGAGAAAAATGATGATGAGAGAACCGAGGGAGTACTACAGAACAAATGATTATACATTGATGTATGATTAATTAATTGTATTTTGTTACTTATTCGATATATCAAGTAATTATACATTTCCTGATAGTTAAAGTTATCCAAGCACAAAGGGTTTGCACTTCTAATGCCATGACATGTCCAGATACTTCAAGCACAAAGTTCCGCACAAAAGGAAGAGCCTAAAATATGTGAAAATAACTACGTACAAACAAAATGACGATGAGAGAATCAATTTTCAAATTCAAAGAAAGAGAACTACTTCTTCAATCAGTACTCAGAATATATATATATATATATATATATATATATATATATATATATATATATAACGGATGAGTTTATTAAAAGAAGGAAAAGATACAAAGGGAGGGGGTTGGCCGAACCCCTACAAAGGCCAGACTAGACTGTTACACCACAAAATAAAAGGAAAACCAATATAAAAGCTGTAAAACAAAATGACCCTGGAAGTCTTGTCCATATCCTTTGAGGGTGAAGACCTCCATCCAAATGGATAAAAGCTGGATGACAGAAAAGTGCCAATGATCAGACTAAAAAGGACTCAACTGTAGTTACAAAGAGCCAACTGTTACCAATCCTTAATCTAGACCCTAATGTCTTTTGGCTGCCTTAGACCAATACGCCAAAGAGATAACTCAGACTCCTTAAAATGAGAATAACAAATCTCAAAAAGATCTACAAGAACCAAATCAAATAACCTGTAACCCCAAGATACTGAAACCCATCAGTATGGAAAATTTCAGCAACTTCTCCATGAACAATAGAATGCACCATGTTGTCATATAAGATGAACAGGTATATAAATCTAACCATCATTCTATGAACAATCAAGAATAAAGCTAAGGATCCTAAGGAAAAGATTATTATCTCTTGTTCTGTTTACGAGTATTTTCTTTCTTTTGTATCTCAAAGCCTGTGGACTTGTCCTTCTTCTTTTGGGCTTTCGAACGTTGCCTCCCTTTCTATTTTGGTTTTGGGGCCTGAACAGAAAAGTCTCTCTGTTTTTGACCTTTATTCGGTCGACAGATAGTATCTATATCACCTTCCATATCACTAACAAAATGATCATCATATTCTGAATCATACCTGCCCGAAGTGAGAAAGTTATTACTCGTGGAAAGAACCTTGCCCGAAGAGTTTTCTTTGTTTAAAAAGTTTGGGCAATTGCATAGAGATTGTCGAGCAACGAGAAAGATTGATTGCTAAGGGCCTTAATTTTGACACTATGAATGGAGCATCTTCAACATCAGAATGGTTGTACCAAATGGGTTCATCACTTGAGGACATTCTCTCCTCAAGAGCATTACAACGAAATACCAAGCTTTTCTCTTCAAAATGTCGGAAAGGATCTTCCTCTGCAACCTTAACAGTATCAAGTTGCGCTAGGGTGCTAAAAGAGTTGGATTGAGGGATAGATTCATTTGCCAAAGGTGAGAGGGTCTTAGGGTCTAGAACAAAAGGATTTATGTCAGAACCCCCAATGCTATGCTCCGGCTTAAAGTCCTCACAAATGGAATGAGTTTGCTCTTGATCAGCATTTAGAGAAACCAGCATATCTTCTCTACCTGGTACTTCCTTCCCTGCAAAGGTTCTAAGCAGCCACCCTTTATCATAGTCACCATTGAGCTAGGATCAGTATCAATATTCCTTTGAGTTACAACAGTTTCGGGGTTTCTAGGTGTCTCTGTGACAGCCCCTTCTGTAACTGTGGTTGGGGTCTGTACCTGAAGCAGCTCCTTGTCTCCTTGGGAGACTTTTCTCCACAATCCAGCATCTCTCGAGTGTATTACAGAAGCTTTAGAAATACCCATCTGCGGTCCCTTGTCACGGCGTTTAGCTATCTCTATGAAATCTGAAAGAGCTCTGAAGAAACTAGCAGGGAATTCACTTTTTTGAGCAATCAGGATGATAATACTACACCTCTGACCCTCAAACCTAGATTCTTGTAGGCGGATGAAGTCTCCCCAGCAGTTGGACCCGTAGGATAGTTCCAATTTCCTATTAGCTTCAAATCTAAAGTGTGCCAAGGATCTAATGTTGGAAATTCTTAGAAGGGATTTAAGAATCCACTCAATCAAGGTTTCATCAAACCATATATGATAATCCCTTTTCCCCCTTTCTGTTATACAAAAAACTTTATTATAGTGGGAGTAGAAAAATAAGAACACCTTGGACTGTAGACGGAAAACGAATCTAGGGTTCCGGCTTTTTCTACCTGAAGCTTCTTTCCATTGATTCGTTCTTCCTTCCCTCCAGGGACCTGAAGTGGAGAAATTCCTCCTAGGATGCGACATCGAGCGTTGGAATCCTCCTGCGTGGTAAGTGCTTTCTCTTTGTCGTTCCCAATAGAAATCATCTGCCCTGTCTTCAAGACTCCAACGCCTGGAGTAGAACAACCTATTTTTAATCCTTGATGATGGGTGCTGATACCTGAGATGAAATGGGCGACGGCCTTCGCCAAAATCGCCTAGCTCTGCCTTCTCTATAAACCCCACCTATCATATCATGTGTGTATATATGTATATGTATAAATATATATATACACACACACACACACTAGTATTTCTCCACGCGAAATTAGGGGTGTTCATCGGTCCAGGACCGGACCGGACTGAACCGGACCGGACCAAACCGGACCGAAGACCAAAATCAGAAAAATATAGGACCGAAGACCGGACCTATTCTCAGTCGGTCTTGGACCGGTCCGGACCGAAAACTCTTAGACCGAACCCGAATGGACTGATTAGACCAAATTTTTTTTTAGTTGAATTTTTTATATCTTATACCACCAAAACACTACAAAATGTAATTCATAAAAGAAATGGTAAGTAGCAACATCCATTCACTATTTGTACAAAACAAAAAGTCATGCAACTTCAAATCCAGAAAACCAATGCTCCTGTTATGCACTAAATTCTGATCCTATGATCTAGTAATGCTTATGTCAGTTATGTGCCCTGAAGATGTTGCTGCATCCATATAACAGCAACAATTATAATCCTTATTGGTCCCCCAAGATTCCAAATTCAAGAACCAACAGCTTCTTCACCATAGACCTAACATAAAACCAAACCCAAACATACAAATTGTAGTTTTGAAGCCCACTTCAACTTGTAAAACGCAAGGCATAATCATACTTAGCTAGTAACAGCTTTAACAAGTACCATCAATCCAAATTTGCAATCAAATAAATTAGCACCCCAATATTATTGAGTTACAAATTAGTGAAATTACTATGTTAACAACATAGAGAAACCATTCAATAATTACTTAGTCATTGAGTAAGCACAAGAACAACATCCAGTAAGTATCACATAAACCATTCAATAATTACTTAGTCATTGAGTAAGCACAAGAACTTAACAATTGACATTGCTGTTTTTTTTAACAATTGACAATCAGCTTTGCTTGAATACCTTAGCCAAATTTAAAAGTTTCAAATGTTATTTGGAAAAATAATCTAAGAATAAAACAATTTTGCTAAGCCCTACAAATAACATGGGAATAATTTAACAAGAAGAAACCTAATAGACAAGAAGACTAGGGATTACAGAGAAGGAGACGAGGGAGACGAGATGAGTACCCATACCTGATTCAATTGGGATTGAGGAAGTCGGCTACTCGGTGCTGGGCAGTGGGCGACTGGGCAGTCGGCGCTGGGTGGGACTGACGGCGAAGGCTCTCGTAGAATTGGCGATGGCTGGGACTCTGCGAGACGGCGAAGCCTCTAGGCGAATCCTTTGCCCTCGAACAATGAAGAATTTATGGAAAAGGGCAGAAAAAAAAGTTGGAATTTATGAGAATGCCCTCTAACAGATATTCGCTTGAGGCGCGTCCGCTCTACTTGCGTAAAATGAGAGGAAATGACAGAAAGGCCCTTCCAACGAAGGAACAAAACGTCACTGTTTATTACAGTTACTTCAAAAATTAAACGGAAATATTAAAATTAACGACCAGCCGTTAGGTTGCCTTCGAAGCGTCACGATGATTTTTAGAAAGGCAAAACGGCGCCGTTTGAAGCGCCAACCCCTCCTTAATCCCCCGACCAGTCTTCGGAAACGATACGCCTTCATCAATCGAAACTCTTCTGCTCTTCGTTCTACATTGCTTACCGTCGTCGGATACCTTCAAGAACTACCACACATCTCTTTGCCATGGAGAACACCGGAGCAACTAGCGGGTTCCAGTACAAGAGAAGAAGAATTCTAACCCAAACACAATGGGAGGAGATGGAGAATGAAAACCAAGTATTTTCAAATAATTCTTACTTAAAATTAACTAATTTTTGTTTTATTTTGAAATATTTGGGATTGGTGTCAGATTTCTGCTGAGGTAACTCCATCTGTGAAGGGTCAATCGTTCCTGGATGCTTCGAAAATTGAGGTGCATTGCATGTACACTAAAATATAACATTTAAAGTATTTTGTTTGTTTTTTGAAACATTCGGAAACAGAACAAGTTATTCGACCATGGAAATAATCAATATAATGTTACAGTAATTGGTTAACAGTCGAATGCAGTCGAATCTATTTTTTGATTAGTTCTTGATTTTAATTCTAGGTTCCAGCGTTGGCTTGCACCATTGATATTGATAAAATACCTGGAATGAAGTTAACCCTGAAATCTTCTTTGGGGGAGTTCCAGAATCTGGTGGGCGAAGGACTTGGAGATCATCCAGAAGTTCTTGATTTGTTTAGGGAGAGCACCCCTTTTTCTCATTTTTTGGATGTTGAGTGTATTCCTCCTCCTCTGTTACTATGGCAACTCATTGCGAGGGAAGCCAAAATAAAGAGGAAAGGAGAGATGTGGTTCGTTTTCAAAGGAGTTCCTGTCAGGTACTCCTTGAGGGAGTTTTCACTCATTAGCGGCCTCAACTGCTCTCACCTTAACGCCGGCTTTGAAAATTCTAAGGAATTAACCTCTGCAAAGAATGATTTCATTCGTGCTCACTTTCCTTCAGCAAAGAAGGGAAAGAAATCTGCTGCAGTCACATACAAGATGGTTGTGCAGCGTTTCTT